CTGAGTTTGAATGTTCTCCCCATGTCTGCATGGGTTTCCTCCAGATGTTCCAGCTTCCACCCAACGGTCCAACATTTAGCAAGATCTATCGGCAGAAATGGAACATAATATTAATTGGTATGTTTTCATTAGTGTATAATCACATGGAAATAAGAATCGTTGTGTTTTCGTTACCTTTGAATGAGCTGTTTTTGTCTACAGAAGGAGCATGTCATCTGTAGCACAAGTCTGCCATGTGGAACCACAATGTTTCTACAGTAGAAGGGACAAACCAAATACTGGTTCTAGATAGAAGGTTTTTGTGAGTTTCAAGGCCACCATAGTTTCTCCTTCATGCTTAGAAAGTGAGCTGTATTAAAATGGTTGCAATCTGCAACTTCACCACAAGGTGCCACTAAATCCTTCACACTGGTCCTTTAAGTTAGTTAAGAGCATTAATGTAGCAGCCCAGAGTTCGAATCTGACTTGTGGCCCTTTGCTGCGTGTCATCCCCTCTCTCTACCCCCCTTTTCTGTCTATCTTCAGCTGTCAAATTAAAAAGGCAATAAAAAAGACCAAATGTTTTTTTTTTTTAAATTTACATTTACACCCAAATGGGTAATGTATCTGGAAAATGAATGTCATATTTTGGAGGGAAAAAAATCATGAAATTGTGTTTATTTTAGACTAGATACATTAGAACATAGCACTTAATTAATTTCCCAAAACATCTATATGTACTTGCCCATTTGAGGGTACATATTTTCTATATTATTGGTTCAGTGACCACTATTTGTATAAGATATAGTGATAATTCTATAACTGTAATAGACAGATGTTAGAGAATGTTACCCTTAGAAATCATGCTTTAGCTGCCAGTACCAGACATTGTTGGAAAACAAATTAAATATGTGTATGTATATATACTGACAATGAACATTTTGTGAATTCATTAATTAAAAACCTTAAATATTATGTTTGTGGAAGTAATGCAATCAGGGGTGCATCCCAATGTTTTTCTAAATGTATAACTGGGTGTTAAAAATAAACATGCACATGAAATCTAACTTGAGTGTGTTTGACAAAGTCCTCTGAGTGTATAGGCCCTGGTGGGAACTGGCATCATATCAGAGGTGGATGACACTGACTGGGTGATATGTGAATCTTTACTGAGAACTCCACTCAAGATATAAGCAAACAAATATATTGGTCCAACCCCAAAATGTATGTTTATTCTGAATTGATGATATTCCTTAACACGGCTCACAGATCAGTACTGGTGTAGCTTCTCTCGCGGTGTTCCTCAAGAACCCAAAGTCATCAACAGTGAAAGGAGGAGCCAGCAGACACCATCAACATCCCCCACCCCCACATATCCCCCCTCTTGCTCGGTGTCGTGCCGACTTCTGATGCCATTTTAACTGTCATACTTGGAAAGGTCAGCTTTACCTTGCTCCGGCTGCACACGCTCTCCGGCTAAGCTGCAATTACTGACAGCCACACATGCACATATTGAGAAATATTAGCATGTTCATTCCTGTTCTCTGTCTCTCTCTGTCTCTTTCTCATAGACACATAAACACACTGAGCAGCCATGGCTCTTGTCTTCACCATCTATAACACCACTGATTGATGCTAACTCATTAAAACAAATTGAGCCTCTTTGCAAAAGAGACTTTGTTGAGCTGCCTTCATCTCATCCTTCTGCTCCTTATAGCCAGCACTATATGCTCACTGACATATCCAGCCTGAGGTGACGCATTTTTCATTTTATTCAGGTAACGCTGCGTTTCACCGGTTGCCTGTCAATGGTGTCATATCCCCTTTGTGCATGCATCAGCTGTTTAGATCTTGGTGTTTTTTGAACCGGATAAAGGATTTTAGTCAATGGACGTCTGGATCTTAAGTTATC